TGGGACAGCAGTGAGAGGGCACTCACGGGGGCAAGTAGGCGGCCACATGCTTGATACATCGGCAGATCTCAGGGGTGTCTCACACCCCAGCGTCGACTGCGCCCGCAAGGCTAAGGTGCGCAAGTGGCTGTAGGGCAAGACTAACGGGCCACGAAAACAAGACATTCACCCGAGAATTGTCCTGTAGGAGCAATCGACTCTGGGATCTGGGGCAAACCACCAAGCCACCTGTACAACCGTACACGGGTCCTGACAATGCCCATCCTAGACTCAGGATCGTTGTATGATTGCGCCCTCCTGGCATGGCCAGGAACATAGGCTCACCGACTCGAGTCCCAGGATTGTCCTGGCCAGGACCGGTGTGGGTGTGCATACGCAGTTGGTGCTTCCCGACTGAGCGGACCCTCGATGAGCGAAGCAGCAACCCAAAGTGGCGATCTCCCTGGCAGTCTCGTGCTTTTGGAGCGTGTGGTTGATGGTGTGATGCCCCCTGCCAGTGATAATGCAACGACGTGACCCCCGAGGGTCTCGACCCGCGGAGACACACCACTGGGGCGGGCTCCTTGTCGCGGATCGCGCGGCGAGGCTGCGTCCGAAGTGCTCCGAGGCCCAGGCTGCCCGGGCAGAGCACGCCCGGGCTGCCCCGAGCGACGCCCCCCCCATCACGCCCGAAACGCTGCCAAGCGTGGCCCAAGGCTCACAGTCAAAACGCACAACGGTGAGATGCGCGGTAAGGATGCAAGGGCCTTGGGAGGCCATGCTGACGTTTTTCGAACGGGGCTGGCCAGCGAAGGTCGCCAGGGATGGGCCGGAGGGGCAGATACACAAGGGTAACCTTGCACATTTGCTCATCCTCACTATGCGCCTTGACTGTATGAAGAGTCCAGCCATGGCCTTCAAGGAGCCCTCCGGGAGACCCATCCCCCTGGGGGTCCAGCACACACTTAAGAAGCTGTGCATCTTTGGATCGATTATAGACGTCTCACACCATTGGGCTCATGCCGTATGCCCATGGCTCGACCACAACGTTGTTGAAAACGAAACTGCGTGCGAATTACGGAACGCTTTGAATGACACGTTTGCTTGTCAAGTTTAGACCGAACGGGAAACAATAGAAAAACTCCTGAGTGGCCTCCAATGGCCTCCAATTGCACCTCCAGAGGACCTCCGGGGCTCGCAGCAAACTCCAGTGGCCCCAGTGGGTCCAGTGAGCATCCAGCGCCCTCCAGTGGCTCCTCCAGTGGCCTTCGAAACAAGGAGCGCGGCGCCGCTGGCCAGCAACAAGAGCAACCAACCCAGACTGGGGGAGCAAGAAAATCTAGCAAAAGTGAAGACTGGACGCTACTACAGTTGGACCCAGGTCAGAAGAACATCCCTGCAGAACATGAGACCCTCCGTCGGCCATAACAAAAAGAACATCCACAAGTAGCCTCCCCAGAATGCACAACAACGTCCCACAAGCTCGAAGAACATCGGGTTACTCTTCCAGGATCGACCTCGATCTTCTACCTCGGTCCGACTGCAGGGAACACTGAGGGGGCAACCAGAACACCCCTGCAGGCCACTGGGGGCGCAAGAGCGCCAGGCTCAATGACAATCTAGGGCTCCCAGCTTCGCGCTTCGCGCTCCGCGAAGCGCGAAGCGCGAATAACTTCGCGCTCTCGCGCCGCCCTCCCAAAGGGAGAATAGGAGGACGAGGAGGAGGGGGAGAAGGAACGAGGACCGCGAAGCGCGAAGCGCGAATAACTTCGCGCCCTCGAGGGAGCCCTTGGACAATGCACCGCTTCCACGATCTTCTGAATCAGTCCCCTGCTTGGCCTGCCCCCCTAAGGGGGCTCCAAGGCGAGCCCCCGATCCGCCTCCAGACGGCCTCTGGGCCCCAGCGGGGCCCCAGACGGCGCTCTCGCGACCCGTGGCCCGCCCGCCGTGGGAGGGCCCCCGGGGCGGCGCGCCGAAGGGAGGCCCCACCACGGCCCAGCACCGGCCCGAGGTGGCCCCACGACGGCCCCAGACTCGCCCAACCCCTTCCCCCCCCCCACCCCCTGGCAATGGCCGCCATCACGGGAGGGCATGAAAACGGGCTCCACCCACCCCCCCTAACGGGCCGAGAGCCCACGAGCGATGGCCCCAAGAAACTCCCAGGCGACTCGCAGGGAAGCCCCGACTGAGCCCGAAAAAATGCCAGGTCCAGAGAGCATCGCGACAAGCACGCAACGCCACGGCCATGTCACGCCAGAGCGTTGCTGCGCAACTGTACCCCCAGCACGGTGGAGTTGCTGCACAGACCAAGTGGATACTGTGAGCCGCTCAAACCAACATCAAACGCAGATCTCGCAACATAACAGGGCTTCCACTCCACCAATACGACGCAGAAACTTAGGAAGCATTTCGTGGAAGGTCCTCGTAAGGACGACTACGGGCTACCAAGAGCGCGTTTTTTTATTTTCGGCGATAATGGGCGTTATAGAGGGGGAGGCAAGGGGGGTATAACGTAATGCCCCCCCCCGCCGTGTGGTTCTGGCACCATAAAAGCCACTTTTTGTATTTTCCGGGATTGCGGCCGTCATCGACACCGCCCACCCCACCCCAGATGACGTCACGTTCCGCGCCGGCGGGCGGCGTCCAGGAATGCCTAGGGATGACCAAAGCCACGTAGGAGCAGCATGTAGGTGGCGATCTGCCCCACAACGCCTGTGTACACCACAACGCTTACGTGCACCACAGCGCGCGTTTACACCACAGCGCCTGCGTACACCGCAACAGCCGTGTGCAACGCAGCGCCTGGGCACACCACAGCGCCTGCGTCCACCTCAGCGCCGGTGTGCACCACAGCGAATGTGTGCACCGCAGCAACCAGGTGCAACACGGCGCCTGGTACACCACAAAGCTTGCGTGCACCGCAGCGCCTGTGCACACCACAGCGCCTGTCTACAGTACAGCATCCGCGTGCAACGCAGCGCTGGTGTACACCACAGCGCATGCGTGCACAAGACAGGTAGGAGGAGCATGTAAGGGAATATTTGCTGCGGACAGCTAAACACCACGCCGGGGAAGGGTGGATAATAGAGTGGGACGTTCTTTCCTCCTCCTTCCTCTTCCACTTTCTCCTCCAACTCCACCTCTTCCTCCTCCACTCCCTGTTCCTCCTCCTCCTCCTCCTTTTCCTCCTCCTCTTCCCTCACCTTTCACCCCTGTCGTGCGGGTCGGCGCTACAGCGCACGTGCGCATCCCATCGCGCACCGCAAAATACTCGATTGAATCAATCCGCTTGGTTCTCGGATGGCCAAGTCTACTGGAGCCTCCTGGACGCATATGGGAAGAGTTAGGATGATGCGGGAGGACTCGTAGATTCCAGCTGTGCTCCTTTTTCCATTCATATTCCTTTCCAAATCCTATATATAAACAGTTGATTTTGTGGAATCCACAGACGCTCCATTTTGTCACAAGGGTTCCTTCAAAAATCATGTTTTCAACACTTGTGCTCTGTTGCACACGGTTGCTGTGGTGCACACAGGCGCCGTGGTGTACGTAGGCGCTGTAGTGCACGCAGGCGCTGTGGTGCACACTGGTGCTGTGTTGCACACGGCTGATGTGGTGTACGCAGACGTTGTGGTGTACACTGGTGCTGTGTTGCACACGGCTGATGTAGTGTACGCAGGCGTTGTGGTGTACACAAGCGCTGTGGTGCCCGCAGGCATTGTGGCACACACAGGCGCTGTGTTGCACGCGGCTGCTGTGGTGTACATAGGCTGTGTGGTGTACACAGGCGCTGCGGTGCACGTGAGCATTGTGGTGTACACAGGCGCTGTGGTGTGGATCGCCACCTACATGCTGCTGCTGCCCGTCCCCGGTCATTCCGAAGCATCCCAAGACGCCGCCGGCGCGAACCGTGACGTCCTCGGCCCCGTCCTCGCCCCCCACATGACGGTCGTCATCGGCCTGGAAAAAAAACAGGCTCCAGCTGCGTCCGCGCGCACGACGACGATGAGCGACGAGACGCGAGCGGCGAGCGACGACGACGACGACGACGACGACGACGACGGCGACGACTGCGGACCAGACGCCTCTGCGGATTCCTATGCGGACGCCTATGCAAATCCCGATGCACACGGCGGCAGTGCCCGGGGCGCACTGGGAGGGGCGGGCGTTAGGTTGTACGAGAGGGGGGGGGCCAGGGGCTATAACGCCCATTATGCCCAAAGCAAAAAAGAAACACGCTCCAAGCCAGAGTATGGGGGCACTCAGCCGCGTTATGTTGGATAGAACGCGGGATCAAGCAGAATTGAGGAAATGTAAGCTGGACTAAGCGGGACTTTGCCAGACTAGGCGGGATGTCGACCACGGACATGCCAGCGCCGAACCTGAATTCAACCTCGCAGGAGTTGCATTCGAAAGAATCGGCGCAGACCCCCCTGCACCTGGACCCGAGGGCGGGGTCCCATGGCGCGCCCTCTCCTGAGCACACGCCTTCCCTCAACATCACACGATGGCTGCCCTCCGCTCGGCTCGATCTTCACCTCCACCCATGGCGTTCCGCTCTCCAGCGCGTCCCCTGCGGGCCAGCTGGTGTGGCCACAGGGCAGGCCAGCCCGTATGGCCAGCGTAGCGATGCGAGAGATAAAAAACACGAATTGCCAGTCGCTCGCGTCTTTGGAGCCAGGAATCGCGCAACATCCGCTGTAAGTAGACGGCGCTCGCGTGTCACGATCCACTAGCGGATCCCTAGTAGACTGATGGTTGTAGTCCTTTGGCCAGAAACCGCGTCCATAAATAGAAGCCAGCACAACAATAACAACAACTGAATAAACATAAGCGTTCGGCGGTCCGAGCGGCTCTCATGAATCGGTGGCGGAGTCCCCTCCCCTTGAACGCGAATCCTACTAAGGGCGGCGCCGGAGGCGCGGCCAAGGGGAGGAAGGTCCGACTCCATAAAATTTGCGCGACCTCCGAAAGTCTGTGTTTATGCAGTTGCATCTCTTCGTTTGAAGACCACAGCTGCGTCAAAAGAGATGGATCATGTCCGCCATGCCAGGATGGATGCTGAACGGACCTGAGGGACGCAGCGGAACCACTGACAATACCCAAAGAACTGGCTGTTTGGCCAGAGGCTCCGCAACTGCATCATATTGGCATGAAAAAGAAGGGTCCTACAGGAGACATGTCGGGGAACCCTGGGCTGTCCCTCGGACTGGTTTATCATCCTGAACCTATTCCTGGCGTCCGCTGGGGCCCTGAGACGGCCCTGGCAGGCAGAAGACTGCGAAAACCCCCTATGACCCCTTTCCCTCAGGAACCCCCTCCCTTCATGGCGAACAGCGGCCTCAGAGAGGGGCATCCAAGAGGGGGGCGTCCAAAAGGGGGTTAGCAAATCATTGCCCGAGGCATGTACGCGGACCAGAGGGGGTGCAGGGAACGTATAGAAGAAGAGAGGCCACAGCCATGATGTCCACACCCCCGAGGCATCATCCCCCTCTTGGCCGCCCCTGGAATAAATGGACCAGGTCCGTCATGCCATGATCGACGCTGAACGGACCCGTCCGTACGCCCCCCGATCGAGTCGCCCTCCCTCCTTCAAAGACCTCCGACGTCGTGATTTGTCCACACCAGGGGCGCCGGGAAACCACGATCCCGAGCCCAGGAGCACAGAAAATCGGCACCATCACCTCCACCGTCCCAGGGGTTCGCGGCGTTTGGCTCGAGCCTTCTGCAACCTCCAGCTCGGGGAGGCATCGTGAACCCCTTCGCCTAAGAATGGCTCGCGAAAAGGTGCTGCTGCTCTCTCTCGGCCTGGCGCCCCGGGGCCGACTTGAGCCACTTGCTTCATCACAATTCGCGAGAGTGCCCGTGACCGGCCCTACCCTCGCCATCGCTCGGACGTCCATTCCCTGTGTTTTGTTCGGTTTCGTGCGTGTTTTTTTCGCCAAATGATCAAGAATGCTCCTCGATGGTCCTCGCCGAAGGAAAAGTGCACACGTCCGAGCGATGCCAAGTACCACCCCTCCCACCTCCCCCCCCTCGTCACGCCTCGATTCGCGCCAGCTCCCTCGGGGAATCTGCCATTCTTGGGCATTCCCAGACGGCGCCAGCGCGAATCGCGGCGTGACGGGCCCCCTCCCCTCTTCCCCCCTTCTGGTCACAGTCTTTACCGCCAGGAGGTAAAACCTGACTCGTGGGCTGACTTCGCACCCCGAACTGTGTTTTTGACGGCCGCGGATCCCGAATGCGGCCATCTAGAGGACCGAAAACGCAGAACACTGAGCCGTCTCTGTCTTTCCACGACGCCTGGAGGCCTACTCCCCCTGTTCTGCACGAGGGAGAAATGGGAAAGGGGGGTGGGGGAGGGGGGAGCGAGAACTGAAGTGGTTTCTGGGGAAGAAACACACACACGAAACAAAAACATACACTTTTGGAGGTCGCGCGGAGCTCCGAGCCTTTCTCTTATGCAACTGTTTTTATTATGTGTTCGCAGCGAGGGCCCCGCATGACCCCATGTCAGCCACGTCCTGGTCCGACTCTGCCATGCTGGATCGGCGTCGTCGCAGTCGCTCGGCGCCCCAACCTCGCCCTCGGACGAGCTGGCCGAGCACGTGGTCGAGGCGGTCGAACAGGACCTCGGCCTCAACGCCGTGGCCTCATCCTCGGACGAGTTGGCCGAGACGGCCGAACACGTGGTCGATGCGGCCGACCAGGACCTCTGGCAGAATAACGACGCTTGCGTGGGTCCACAGAGAATTCCGAATTCGGCGCTGGGTCCCCTCCACTGGCGAGCGAATCGCGCCAAGTGCGGCGCCGGAGGCGCCGCCAGGAGGGTTCAGCGCCGAAACGAGAATTCGACGCGGCTCTTGCCTGTGCCAGGATTTCGGCCGTTGCACGCCCGTTCGTTCCTCTTGGGCAGCTCTACGACTTCTACTACTGATACTACGACTACTACCACCACTACTGCTACTACTACTACTACTACTACTACTACTACTACTACTGCTGCAACCTGGTTCTTCTACTACTACTACTACTACTACTACTACTACTACTACTACTACTACTACTACTACGACTACTACTACTACTACTACTACTATTACACGTCGCACCACTACCACTACTACTACTACTACTACTACTACTACTACTACTACTACTACTAGTACTACTACCACTACTACGACTACTACGACTACTACGACTACTACGACTACTACTACTACTACTACTACTACTACTACTACTACTACTACTACTACTACTACTACTACTACTACTACTACTACTACTACTACTACTACTACTACTACTACTACTACTACTACTACTACGACTACTACTACTACACTACTACGACTACTACTACTACTACTACTACTACTACTACACTACTACTACTACTCTCAAACTACTACTACTACTACTACTACTACTACTACTACTACTACGACTACTACTACTACTACTACTACGACTACTACTACTTACTACTACTACTACTACTTTTACTACTTTTACTACTAGTACTACTACTACTACTACTACTGCTGTTTCTACTAGTTATTCTACACCGTCTCTTACTATTACAAGTCTTCCTCTTAGCACTACCGCTACTACTACGACTACTACTACTACTTCTACAGCTACTACTACTACTGGTACTACGACTACTACTACTACTACTCGCACTATCACTACCACTACTGCGACTCCGAGTGTTACTGCAAAGAATACGGCCTACTACTTCTACTACTGCTAAAATTCGTACTACTACTACTACTGCTACTGCTACTGCTACTGCTACTGCTACTGCTACTACTACTACTACTACTACTACTACAAGTACTAGTACGACGACTACTACTACTACTACTACTACTACGACTACTACTACTACTACTACTACTACTACTACTACTACAACTACTACTGCTACTACTACTACTACTACTACTAGTACTACTACGACTACTACTACTACTACTACTACTATTACTACTCCTGGTACTACTGGTACTACTGCTACTACTACGACTACTACAACTGCTACTACTACGACTACTACTACTACTACTACTACCTCCTACTTCTACTACTACTACTACTACTACGACTACTACTACTACTACTACTACTACTACAAATACTACTACTACTACTACTACTACTACTACTACTACTACTACTACTACAACTACTACTACTACTACTACACAAAAAGGCCGACGAGTCCTACTACTACTACGACTGCGACTACTACTACTACTACTACTACTACTACTACTGCTACTACTACTACTACTACTACTACTACTACTACTAGTGCTACTATGACTACAGCCGCTACTCTCACTACCCTGACTACGACTACTCGTACTACTACTACGACTACTACGACTACTACGACTACTACGGCTACTACGACTACTACTACTACTACTACTACTACTACTACTACTACTACTACTACTACTATACTACTACTCTACTACTACTACTACTACTACTACTACTACTACTACTACTACTACTACTACTACTACTACTACTACTACGCTACTACTACTACTACTACTACTACTACTACTACTACTACTACTACTACTACGACTACTAATACGACTACGACTACGGCTACGACTACGGCTATAACCACGACTGCTACCACTGCTACCCCGACTACCACTGCTACTACTACTACTACTACTCCTGCTACTACTACTACTACTACTACTACTACTACTACTACTACTATTACTCATACGCCTAGTACTACGACAACGACTACTACTCCGACCACCACTACTACTACTACTACTACTGCTACTACTACAACTACTACTACTACTACTACACTACTACTACTGCTACTACTACTACTACCACTACCACTACCACTGCTACTACTACTACTACTACCACTACTACTACTACTACTACTACTACTACTACTACTACTACTATTACGACTACCCCGATTACTACTACTACTACTACTACTACTACTACTACTACTACTGCTACTACTGTTACTACTATTTCTGCTACTACTACTACTACTCCTACTACTACTACTGCTACTACTACTACTACTCCTACTACTACTACTACTACTATTACGACGACTACTACGACTACTACTACTACTACTACTACTACTACCACTACTACAACTACTGGTAGTACTACACCAACTACTACGACCATCACATCAAAATTTTGAAACTGATCGTTTCTATCTTCTCGCGTCACATTCAACACCTCAATCCCAGACCCTCGGTACCCGTCCTCTTTGTCTTCGATCGTACCCCCTTGGGAGTATACCTTCCTTACATGCCACGTGCATGTAACGCCGCCCCTGAAGCAGGAGAAGACAGGACGGATGGGATGAGGAGGAAGAAGGATGGAGCACGGAGGAGATTAGCAGGAGGGGGGCTAGGAGAAGAAAGAACGTGGTAAAACTAAGCGGATATATCGGGCGAACAGACCCCAGCGGGCGGGTCGGGAAGCCAGGCCAAGGCGGCCAGGTCGAGCAGGCGAGTTGCTGAAGCATGCACCCTGAATTGCGAGCATGTCTTGAGCGATAGTGGGGTGCTCAAGTAAATCGTGAGAAGGCAAGAGCGTGGTTTCTGAGTGTCGAGGGCCAAGCATCTGCATACATTGCGAGGAAGTCCCGCGCGAGAGCCCGCTTCCTGTATAAAGTGGGAAGAAATCCTTCGCGAAAACGCGACTTTGGAATGCCTTCTGAGGAAGTATCACACAGGAGCCGTTGCTGTTATTGCTGTAAACAGAGGGGCAAGGGCCCAGTTTGGTGACCCGTCATTTTCCATTGTAGAAGAACAGGGTGTGAGCCCCAGGAGAAGCACTTGACTTGAAACACAATAGTTGCCGGAGGGGGGATCATAAATATTCTTTTGACATGGGAAATCAACAACAACAACGACGAAAAGAGAAACACCACCAACAACAACAACAACAACAACCATAAGACAAACAGCAACAGCAACAACTACAACAGCAACACACCGTTTAAGACTGCTCGCTCCTATCTGCCCGCGTGCCATTCAAAACGGAACTCCCAAACCCTCGGTACCCGCCCGCTTGTCGTACCCCGTTGGAAGTATATCTTCCTAGCCTGACACGTGAATTTAACGCAGCCACTAGAACAGGGGATCCGAGGACGGATGGAAGGGGATGTATAATGATGGAGCACAAGGGAAATTAGCAGGAGGCGAGCTTGGAGCAGAAAGAACGTGGTAAAACCAGACGGGCAGACCGGGCGGACAGACCCTAGCGGGCAGGTCGGGAAGGCGGACCCAGGCGGCCAGGTCGAGCAGGCGAGTTGCTGAAGCGTGAGTCCTGCATGACTCGCGGGGAGGTCTCGAGCGATAGCGCGATACCCAAGCAAATTGTGATTTCAGAGTGTCGTGGGCGCAGCGTCTGATTGCGAGGGCGTCCCACGCAAGAGCTTGATTCCTGCATACATTGTACAGGAATCCCTCGCCAAAGCGCGATTCCTAAATAAACTGTAAGAGGTATCAAGCGGGAGCCGTTATTGTTGTAGCCAGGGGGGCAGGGGCCCAGTTTGAACACGAATACTTTCCTTGATGGAAACCAGGTGCGAGCCCCGAGGGGGGCACTCCAATTTAAACGTACCATGTGCGCCTGTGGGGGGGTCAACAACAATAATCCTTCAAAAGCGATAGATCGGCGACAATCATTTTAAGACTGCTCGCTCCGATACGCTCGCGTGCCACACAGCACGTATATCGCAAAACCTCGGTTACCACCCTCTTCGTCCTCGATCGTACCCCGTTGGGGGTATATCTTCTTTACTCGCCACGCGTAATGGGCACAGTCCCTACAAACAGGCAAAGGAGGACGGAAGGAAAGGAGAAGGAGAAAGAGATGGAGCGCCAGATTCACAGAGGGGGGCTAGGAACAGAGAACACGTGGCAGAACAAGGCGGGCTGAACGGGCGGGTAGACCGTAACGGGCGGGTCGGGAAGGCATGCCCAAGCTGCCAGGTCGAGCAGGCGGGTTGCTGAAGTGTGAGCACTGCGTGAATCGCAAGAAGTTCTCGAGCGATGGCGCGATGCCCAATCAATTGCTAAACAAACAAAAGCGAGTGCGCGATTCCTGATCGTCGAGGGCGCGGCGGGTGAAGAAATTGAACGGAAGTCCCACGCAGGATCACGATGCCTGCTTACATTGTGAGGAAGTCACGCGCGAGAGCACGATTTTGGAATAACTTGTGGGGAGGTATCAGGCGGGAACCGCTGTTACTGTGGCCAGGGGGCAACAACACAGCGTGAGCATGAAGATTTTCCCTCGTAGAACACAAGTGCGAGCCCCATAGGGTGCACTTCAATTGAAAAACGTAGTGTGCACCGGTGGGGGGGGGATCCACAGCAATCATTCTTCAAGACTGAGATTTCACCAACAACAATAGCCACAACAACAACGACAACGACAACGACTACGACAACAACGACAACGACAACAAAAACAACTTCGCTTACTACGACTATCACTACTACTATTACTACTACGACGAGGACTACTACTACCACTACTACTAGGGGTTCGGATGAGGACGAGGACGACGATGGCGACGATGCGAAGCAGTGATGGTGAGGAGGCTTACACATGGATTCCTAGTGCGGCCTTCGAATAGAATTCCTTTGCGCCTTGCTCAGGGGATCAATTCGAAGGTCTGCACAAAAAGATTTCAGTTGTCTCCGACACAATAGGAATCAATGCGTAAGTCCTCACAAAAGGATGTCAATTGAAGGCCACACAACATGAATCAATGTGTACATGCGTGAACACTGTGAAAGCACAACTTCTTTGTTACCAAGTTGGCTTTGTCTCCAAATAGGCTTACACTACAGGAGTCCCAGCTCAAGCTCTACTACTAATTGGTCCGTTGCCCCCCCCCTCAATTCCTATGCCCCCCTAATTCCTATGGCTGTGGCTGTGCCTACGCCTCCCACTAACTCCTATGCCTACGCCTGTGCCTATTCCTGCGTGCTTGCTTGCTCGCTTGCTTGCTTGCTTGCGTGCTTGCTTGCTTGCGTGCTTGCTTGCTTGCTGAGTTGCGGATTCCAAGCATGCTTGATTCCTCTGATTCCTTGATTTGAGTCGTCTACTCTATTTGGGGTCAACGGTGGCTGATATTTGTGTTTGGGGCTTGCACTTAAGCGAAACATTTAACTTAAGAGTACAGCGATTTGGGTCCCCCAGGTTTTGGTAATGGTTGTTTGTTTGTCTTCGTCGTCGCCCCCCCCCCTCCTGAGTCTGGCACAAAGGAATTGTATGTGAAGGCCGCGCACTAAGAATCAATTTTTAACTGCACAAAAGGATTTCCATTGTATCGCACAACTTGGTGCATTTCAACTCGTTGTAACCGCAGAACCCCCCAAGTCAAATAGAGTAAATGTTCTCCCCCTCGTGGAGGGGGCAGGGCTGATGTGCGAGTGGGCGCTTCAAGAGGGTGCGAAATGCGCTTGGGCTCCAGCGCCGCCATGCGAATTCTGCCGCTGGGGCCTCCGGCGGAGCTCCGTACGGGGCCCAGACACGTGAGGGGGTTGCTGACATGGGCGCGTTGCCGCCATTCGAACTTTACAACTGGGGCATGCGACGGAACTGCCCAGGGAACCACGACACGTGTGAGTGATTTGCCAACATTGGCGCGGTGCCGCCATGCGAACTTTGCCACTTGGGCCTTCGGCAGAGCCCCCACGGGGCCACGAAGCGTGTGAGAGGTATGTCTAAATAGGCGCGGAGAACACATGCGGAGAGCAGAGGCAGGAGACGAGCAATAGGAAAAAGCAAGATAAGGGTGGCGGCGGGAAGTGGAGCGCGGCGGTGTGGATTCACATTGAAGACCCAACAAGATGGCTGAGACAAAACATTGAGAAATTAATAGCTTGAACAACAAAACGGCAACACGCGGAACTACCCCGAGAAAGAACCGAATCGCAAAGCCAATACAACAGGAATGCAAGCGTAAACCCACCGCAACAATAATATCATTGTACACCTTCTACTCTTCCCCCGCCTCCTCCGCCTCATTTCCTCTTCCTCCTCTGTTGCTCCTCCTCCTCCTCCTCCTGTTTTCATCCTCCTTTCTTCTTCCTCTGTTCCCTCCTCCGCGTTTCCGTCCCCAACCCCAACCCCCCAACCTACTACTCTTACAACTCTTCCGACGACTGTGTTCGTCGACAAAGAGACACGATCTCCAGGATTGAAGCTGCTGCCCCCGCCATGGGCGCCTCGTGCGCGTTCCGAGGGCTTGCAAGGATTTGAAAGTTGTCGACTGGTGCACGGCCGTGGGAGCCTCGCGGGCGCACCGTGCGCACGCTCGTGGTCGCCGCGTGGTTTACAGGACGTATCTTGCACGAGAGAGCCACATAAGCCTGCACCTTGAAGCTTGCACCGCATGTCTTGCACGAGAGAGCCACGTAGCTTGCACCCTTAAGCTTGCACCGCATAGCCGGCACCACACAGACACGCCTTACACCCCACCGTACAGTCGAGGCCTTGACCTAAGGAACCCCAAATAAGGAACGAGGCCCCTTTTTCCCACAAGTTCAACCTCGATTTCCCATGGGAAACCTCAGGAAAACCGGAGGCAAACTCTGAAACAGTCAAGGAACACCGAGCCCCTCCCCAAGGGAAAGGGCTCCTTCTTCTGCGCCCCGACTGTACAGCTTGCACCACAGCTTGCACCACACAGCCCGCACCACAGCGTCTGCACCGCCTGCCACAAGCACACATCCGGAGTGCCAGAGCTCAGCGTCCAGGGCCCACGCTGGCGGACGGAGGAGGGGGAGGGGGAGGAGGAGGGGGGAGAGGGAGAGGGGGAGGAGGAGGAGGAGGAGGAGGAGGAGGAGGAGGAGGAGGAGGAGGAGGAGGAGGAGGAGGAGGAGGACGCCGATGGCCCTTTCTGCTGCTCCTCGCACCTCGGCCGGGCGGCGGGCTCTGCGCACTCCTCGACCGCCCCCGCTGCCCCAAGGCCGCGGCACAGCCGCGCCAGCCCCTCCCTGTACAGCGCAAGCTGCGCCAGGAACTCGGCGTACTCCGCGCAGGGCGCCTCGTGGTCGTCCAGCGTCCTCAGAGCCCTCGCGGCTGTGCAGAAGCCGGTCACCCTCTGAAGGGCCAGGGCCAGCGCGCCCGCGCGAGAACCTGCTCGGCCCAGGGGGAGCCAACAAGTGCATGAACCAAAACTTTCGGAGGTGCGCGCGGATTTCTGGGATCTGCGCCGGGCCCCCTCCCTGACGCGCGCGGCGCACCATGGGGCGGCGCCGGAGGCGCCTCCGCCGGGGCCCAGGCGCCGATCCAAGAGATCCGCGCAGGCCTCCGAACGCCTGGGCTCCTGCCCGCCTTTCGCTCGCAGGCGCTCGGCCTGCACGCGCCGCGCCCGCCGGCGCCGGCGCCTCCAGCGCGCGCTCCACCTCCCCCAGCCGCCGGGCGATCTCGGCCCGCCGGGCGCCGCACTCGGCCCTGCGCGCCGGGCCGCTCGGGAGGCGGGCCACGCCCCGGATCAGGGCCACGGCCACTCGGGAGGACCGAGGGAGGAGGAGGAGGAGGAGGAGGAGGAGGAGGAGGAGGAGGAGGAGGAGGAGGAGGAGGAAGGGAAGGAGGAGGAGGAGGCGGCGGAGGAGGAGGAGGAGGAGGAGGACTCGTCCGCCGGGCGCCGCCGCCGGCTCGGGCGCGCGGGCGGAGCTCCCGCCCGCGCCATGGGCCGACGGGGCGCGGCGGCCCCGGCGCCCCTGCGTGGGGGGGGGGCGCTCGCGCTGCAGGGGCCCGGCGCCTGGGCGCCTTCGGGGGGGGGGGCAGCTCCCCGGGAGATCGGGCCAGAAGTGGCCACTGTGCCCGAATCCTGCTGCGCTCCCCCGCACCGATCCCATCCTCCGTGGCCCCTTCCTCAACCTCCTTCCCTTCGGCGTCCCCCCCCCTTCTCCTGCTCGCCCCTCCAGAGGCGGCGAGGCGCTCTGGACTCGAGACGGAGGCCGACGTGCACAGCTGGTGCGACACGCTGGGATTCAGGCAGCACGTGGGGCTGCTTCCGCCGCGCGCATTGGCGCGATCACGCCGCCGACGCAGTTCCCGACCCTGTATGACGGCATTCCCGACGCCCTACCCGACAGCCTTCCAGACGGCCTCACCGACACCCAGCTCCATCATTCCTGACGCCCTATCCGACGGCCTTCCCGATGGTCCCCCCGACGGCCTCACCGACTCCCAGCCCGACGGTCTTCCCGACGGCCTTAGCGACAGCCTTCGCGACGACCTTCCCCGACGGCCTTTCTGACGCGCTTCCCGACGGCTTACCCGATGGCCCCACCGACGCCCAGCCCGACGGCCTCCCCGACGCCCTTCCCGATGGCCTTCGCGACGACACCTCCGACGGCCTTCCCGACGCGCTACCCGATGGTCCTCCCGACGGCCCCACCGACGCCCCGCCCGACGGCCGTCCCGATGCCCTTCCCGACGGACTTCGCGACGGCCTTCCCGACGCCTCCTGGGTGGCTGGTTTCCTCCTGTAACTCGCGTGTGTGGCGGGCGGAAGCCAGCGGTCTGCTGTGCAGGTTGGTTTCGGCCCAACCACCACGACCTTCCCTCGATGAATGGTCGTTCCCGGCGCCTCTGGTCGCCTGGGAACCCAGCTGCGCGCAGCTGATTCGTTAACCTCCCCGCCGTCCGTCCCGATCCTTGCCCTGCCCCCCCTCCCCCGATGTCTGCCCAAGCAAGCCATGCATTATGGGGGTTCAAAATGCTGCACATCTGGAAAGCACGCACTGGGTGCCAGAAAGCTGGAAACACACATGGCTGGATTCACGTGCAGAACATGCGGAGGCCGCTTGCTGGATACACATGTGGAGGATACCCTGGCCATGCAAGGGCTGAACACTGGAAAGACCCGCGGCCACATGTGTATCCAACTCTCGCCCATGAAGGCCACGTCACGTATCGGAGTGAAGGGCTTCCGCTCATGCGAATCCGTTTGAAATCGCACACACTGGGCGGCGCGCGCAGCGGGACAGGGAGGGGGGAAGGCTTCTTAGAAAAAGGCTGGTTCTAAGAAACCTCCCACTACCCCCTCTGCGCGTGGCCGACACACGTTTGCTGCCTCGGGGCAGGCAAACATCGTCACGCGTATCGACTTCCGACTGAGGGAAAAGGGGTTTGGCCAAGGAGGACCCGTGCGGCATCGCGGGGGCTTGGGGGGGAGGTGCGGGGGAACTTCAGGAGAAACTAAGTCCAGAATGGACAAAGTCCATACGGAGACCGGGCACTCCGTGCGGATGTACTCCGTATGGACGTGGCTTCCTACCAAGAGAGGCTAAGTCCAGACGCAGTGAGTCCATACGCAAACCAAACGCTCAGCATTGAATTACTTTGTTTGGACTGAGCTGCGAGAGCTGCGGCGACATTTCCTCAACGCTTCATCGACATCCGAAATAAGAAATAAACGAACACATTCCTCTTCATGCGCGTCGTCCGGTTTCTCACATCGCGCTCTGTCTCCACGTGTTCCTTTCCTCTGGCTCTGCAGGCGACCAATCGCCCCGAGACGTCTTCCAAAATATCAACGCGGCGCGCCTAAACCCAGACCAGCCCCTCTCACTTCCGCACATGCGAGATCTATAACCTGTGGGTATATTTTGGTGAAGTGACCAGGCCTCATTCGCCTCTGACCCCTTCTCCTCCTCAGCCTTTTTCGTTTCATGCTCCTTCTCGCCGCGCGCAAGGGAACCCATCATCGAATCGATAAATCCGATAGGCCATCGGAATGAATCGGATCGGATCCGCGGACATCGGCAACCAAATCGGGACACGCCTAATCGGCGAACATCAACAGGCCAACGAGGCCTCCGATGACAAACCAGAATCAACATCGGAATCCGAAATATGATCGACTCGGAATCGGAATAGATCGACCTCGAACCGAACCGAGTCGGAGGAGTCGAAATGAGCCCTGGCGCACGTGGAGTTCCCGTGGTCCGCGCGCTGCTTCGGACAGGTGCGGCATCGGGCCGATCAGGGGAGCGCGCCCACGCGTGCACCCCGACGTGCGCGCAAGATCTGCACACAGTCATCGTGCTACCCTCAGGAACGCATACAGTCGGGGCGTTGACCCAAGGAACGATAAATAAGGAACGAGGCTCCTTCTTTCTTTAAGTTTAACTCGATTTCCATTCGAACGCCGAAGGTCAAACTAAGGCAAACAGTCAAACAACCAAGGAACACGGAGCCCCTCCCGAACGAAAAAGGCTCCTTCTTCAGCGCCCCGACTGCACAGTCGGACTTGGTTGGACAGAACACGCGATGGGACACAAGACCCTTCCGAGGGCCACATTGCCACAGGAATGTGGGAGGCATTGGACACAAGGGTACCTTTGATTTGGCAGGGTCGACCTACTAATCAGGGCCTGTTCTGGGGCGGTTCGGGGCCGTCCTGGGCGCCTCGTCGGCAGTCTTGGAGCCTTCTTGGCCCGTCTCGGGACCGTCCTGAAGGTCTCCGGGGCGGTCTTGGGGCGTTTTTTTCTCCACGATGGAGCGCGGAAACAACGATGCGGCGACGCGGGGGTCCCCCGCCTGAGCGCTGTCTTTCTCGCGCGTCAACAAAAGGACCTGCCTCCGAATGGATGGCTGGCGCCCACTGGTAGGCAGCTCCACGTGCGTATATAAATCGCAGGGGAGCGCTTCACTCGATGACGAGTCGACGTCGCAACCAATGGCCAGCACCTCGAGCCACGCATTCGAAACCGCGTCGCGCGCGGTACCGCTTTGCCACGTAGGGAACGAACTAAGAAGGCTGTGCCGCGGTCGAGGGTCTCGACAGAAGCCTCTGCAACTGGGGGTCACCCAGAGCAAAGGAGCGGCCCTTCAAACCTACATGCAAGCAGGTCATCGGATCGGTGGCCAACGCCTCACAGAAAACGGCCCTAGCGGCAGGAGGCGCGGGCAAATTGCTTGGTTGGCATTGCGGCAGTCGGTAGCGCTGGGCGTCTGCTGCTGGCGATCGTCCCCGCTGTTGTACATCAACTGGCAACTGTTGCCCGGCAAGTCAACGATGTGGAAGCAGTAGCGCTTGGTGCACGGGCTCGGCTGACAAATCGGGCAGCCGTTACTGTACAGGTTGTAGTCCCGGCGCATGCACGCCCCCTCGGTGGCTTGTGCGCAGTCGTGTCCGGGAGGAGTCTTCATCCAGCTGCACCCTTTTGCCATCGGGCCTGGCACGTCGGTGGCGTCGCATATCGTGCCCGTTGCGTTTGCGCCCTGTCCGTGTTTGTGGACGTCCGCCTTGCGCGCCAAGAGGGCGGCCTCGTCGGCGCCACACTCGCCCGCGCCGCACGTCTCGTCACCGGCGGCCCCGGTGGCCAGCAGCAGTGGCAGGAGGCAGGCGGCGGCGCGGCCCCCGTGCATCGCGGCGGCGAGGAGACTTCAAAGCTGCCTCTGCGCGAGCTTCTCGAACGCTGGCGACTCCGAGGGTCGCTGCCGGGCCGAAGCGGCTTGAGCTAAAATGGTTACGGACGGTCTTGGGGCGGTCTTGGGAGCCTCTTCGGCGCTCCTGCGTCACGAAAAACTAACTTCGGATCGTGGGTGTGGGCCATGCGCACTTGAAACAAGAAATCGCCAGCTTCCCAACTGATGGGAAGGGGGCCCCTCGATGCTACAGCGTCGCACCGAGGCCGGCACAACCAAGGCACGTCGGCGAGAACGTGGGGAGGAGGAAAATGAGACGACGACGACGACGACGAAGACGACAAGCGGACCGGCCACGAGGCCAGGAAAGGCGAGAAAGACAATTGGAAGCTCAAAAACGCGAGAAGCCAACAACATGAACAAAAAACCACGAACATCTCTGCGATGTTGGCCTCTTCGGGCCGTCCCGGGACGGACTGCACTCAGGCACGACGGCGCGAAAACCATTGAGGTTCGATGCTCTTGACTCGAGATGCTTTCTCGCGATCGAGGCCAAAGCAGGCTAGAACATTCGGAGCCCAGCGACTTGAGACACCGACAGTTCGAAATCGGCTCTAAATCGGTCCCCGGACCCCTCCTGAGGTCCCAACGGCTTCATTTTTCACGCTGCGTCCAGCCGTGGCGACGAGGGGTCCCCCCGAAGGCCAACTCCCAGCGTCTCAAACGGCCCTCCCCTGAAACATCACCAGGCTGCCCTCGACCTGGCAGGGCCCGCCCTGCACGCATGCCTCGGGGCCGCCCGGGGCCCGGGCACGAACACGGCGCCCATGGCCACGGCGGGCCCAGGCCGAAAGGACGGGCGCCGAGCCAGAAGCCGCGGGGGGGGGGGACCGGCCCGAGCACCCCGGGCCCGCCACCCCGGGGCCCGGGAGGCGGTGCTCGCGTGTCGTGGGCAGCGTCTCGACGGCCCATGGTCAGGGGGACGGAAGACCTGGGCACAGGGGACTCGGAAATCCCCGACGAGGTCGTCAAAAGAATGGCGAGGCCGAGCCTGCATTGTGACGAGGCCTCCCGCTGCAGACATCCCACGAAACTCCTCCTCGTCAGAATCCGAGGCGCGGTCGTCAAAAAACGATGGCGAACCCGAGTCCTGGCAAACCCGGGTCTTACGCTCCCCCGACATGGGGCGAACAGAGACACACCCAAGAGACCGTTTCTTTCTGAATCGGCGATCGCCCGGGGGATCCCGGGGAGGGGGGGGAGGGGAGGAGGGGGCCGGCCGAATACCCTAATCCTCGCGCTGTGGGCAGGCCTGCATATGCCCGCGCCCCCCCTCCCGCGGACCTGCACAGCCGGCAAGCTTATGTTATCCTGAGGGGGGGGGGGGGGGGAGACAATCCCGATAATCCGGGTCATCGCCAGACCCTAAAAAACAGTCTCTAATACTATATGTCCTCCTTGGAGGCGCGCGTCCGACCCGAACATATAGCATACCCATCTTGTAGTATATATATATATATATATATATCATTTCCCGAGCGGCATGGCCAGAGAGCGCCCGCCACGACGGATATATGCTATCAGATTTCTCGGTACGCGCGTCGCCCCATGGAGGGGGCGACGCACACATAGTATGAGTTATGTTGGGTCGACGTTGAGCACACCCTGCGCCGACGCGACGATGAAGCGCACCCGAACGGCGAGCCTCTGAGCGCGCACCTCCTCGCCGTGTTCCACCCCCTCCCGCCTCCCTCTTCCTCCTCTCGACGCGCGTGCGCGCGGCATGCACAGATCCAAGGGGCGAGACTTTTGTCTGTGGATGCAATGACAATGGACACTCTGACGATCCTATCATTGAACTAACAAATGTGTTAAACATGTGTCAAGCATGTTCTAAAAACGTTTCATCATCAAAGACTGTCTGAAACATCTTTAGACATGTGGGAATTATTTGGCAGCATGCTACCTCTCCATTAATCGACTTCCATAGACCCACGTTGCATCACAGCAGCAGTTCGGCCTCCGACTTTCGTCCTGGGTTCGGCTCAGTGAGGTGATGAATTTCGGGGTCCTTGCGTGGGGAAAACCTCACCTCACTAACCTGGTGCCCCTGCGGCCTCAGTGGGCCCTGGGCCCACAATTAGTGACGTGATGGCTTGCGGGCCTCGGACAAGGGGCGAGACCTCGATTCGCCAACCCTCGGGACACGATTCAGGGCCCATCGGCCAGCCCGCGAGGAGGGAACCCAAGAACTGGCATGAGGAAGCGGGCCCTGAGGGAAACGGGTCCTGGGCCCAGGGGCCTTCACCAGGACCAGTTTTTAATTACGGATGCTGTCTGAAAGGCCCTGGGGCGTGTGAGGGTGAACGATGGGGGGGGCGGCGCCAGAGGGAAATCTTGACTTGGAGTCGGCGATGCATCGCCAATAGATCGTCGAGAAGCCCTCGATGGCGAAACCACCCGTTCCTGGGCGGGGTGGGCTATCGGGCCTCTGCACCGTGATGCGCGATTATCATCCCCCCCGTTATACGTAGCACCAACGATATACGACCACCCTTCGGTGATAAGCAGGTTCGGAAGAGAACCAATGTCACACTCCATCGATCTCGGTATCGATCCCACTATCGATCTCACGAATTATCGATCTCACCATCAACCTCACTATCGATCTCACTATGGATCCCGCTATCGGTCCCACGATCGATTTCACTACGAGACAACGACGGGACATCACTAGAGCGGACGATCGGTCTCACTAACGATCCCACCATCTATATCACTATCGATCTCACGGTCGATCACACTATCGACCTCACTGTCGGTCTCGCTATCGATCTGACTATCGATCTCACTACGGGACACCGACGTGACAGACAGGACACCGACAGGGCTAGGGCAGGACATCACTATCTATCTCACTATCGATCTCACTATCGATCGATCTCACTATCAATATGACAATCGCTCTCGCAATCCATCTTACTATCGATGCCACTATCGATCTCACTATCGATCTCACTATCGGTCTCACGAACGATCCTGGGAACCATCAGACCACGATCGGAGAAGTCGGGGCACCATCGGGGCACCATCACACCATCGGAACACCATCGGGACAACATCGTGACACCATCGGGAAACAACGAGACACCGTCGGGACACCATCGGGACACCACAAGAGCACCACCAAGGCACCCTTCAGACACCGCCAGGACATCATCAGGACACGATTGGGACACCAATCGGGACACCAATCGGGACACCTAACGGAAACACCACCAGCACACCATCGGGACACCAATCGGGACACCGCTGGACACCACAGGACACCACGGACACCACGGGACACCATCGGGACACCACGGCGGGATACGCGGCCGGGGGGGATGGGCGGACTTCTGTCCTCGCCGCGCCCTAGCCAGAGGAGGGCTCATTCCTTTCGCCCGCCCACGCAGCTCCGCCTCGCCCGCGCGCACGACACGAAACCGAATCGACTTCCTGGTGGGAGGCTCTCGTTCCACTTCGATCTCACCCCCCAACCTCCGATCAACTCCAGGAGAGGGGGAGACCCGCCGTTGGATATCGCTAGGACTCCATGAATTTAGTCCTGGTGGGGGTCCCTGCAAGAATCTCATTGCGATCCTCAAGAATCTGCTAGCATTTTCAAGAATTCCCCGGGAATCTCGGGAGTTCGAACGAATCTTCAAGAATCGTATTAGGATCCTGCGGGACTTCCTCGGAAATACATTGGGGATCTTTCAGGAATGCCCCGGAATCTTGAGACACCCCTTCGAACCCATTCAATCATCTTCAGGAAGCCACAAGAATCCATCAGACATCCTCAGGGTATCTGGATACATTCTCAGGAATCCGCACGAATCCTCCAGAGCTCGGCAGAACACCTGCAGGAATCATCGAAGGGACTTTTCAGGAATTCCATTGAATCCTAAGGGATTCTCAGGAGTCATCAGAAATCCAAAAGGGGTTTCAAGAATCGTCGGGAATCCTGCCAGGATCTTCCTGGAATGATCCAGGCATCCTTTGAGAGTCCCTTGGGAAACCATAAAAAACTCCTAAGGCAACGCTTCGAAGAGTCCTTCAATGATCCTCTGGAATCCCCACGAATTCTTAAGAACCCTCTGTAACCCGCCGGAGCCCACAGGAATATTCAGGAATCCGCTGGAACACATTCGGAGTTTCCAGGAATCTGTCAGAACCCCCCAGAAACGTCAATCAACTGCGCACATCCATCCTTGCTCGAATTCCCATCATCGATACGGAGATGCCCACTCTCTCAGGGACGTCTCCTCAACGTCTCGACGTGAACCGCAGATAAAACTCTCGGGGGATCCGCACTCAGAATGTCGAACAGATTCGCCTCATTTTATCGGCCACCATGCCCGCGAGGCACGAGTTTGCCTGTCCTCAGGTTCTTGCTCATTTGACGAACCAACAACACACACCCATATCCATAAAGAGGGTCGGAGAGGGCTATGGGTACGTGTTGTCGGATGGGGGTCCCCACTCGAACGGGAGCGTTCCCCAGGGTCCGACACCCCGCACCCATACCCATAGCGAGTCCTCCTCCCAACGACCGCCCTTATGGGTATGGGTGTGTGTTGTTCGTTCGTCATTATTCCCCTGCAGCAGCAGTCCTCGATCCTGACGATTCTGCAAGGGGCCCGGACCGGAAATGTCTCAAAACTCCTGGGGCGCGTCGCGTGGCCCAAGCCTTAGGCTCCCGGCGTGAGCCACCACGCTCCGCAGCGTATTGTTGCACAAATCTTCGAGCCCTACAGTCGGGGCGTTGACCGAAGGAATCCTAAACAAGGAACGAGGCCCCTCTTTCCCAGAAGTTAAACTTCGATTTCCCATGGAGAACCTCCGAAAAACCTAGGACAAACTGTTAAGCAATCAAGGGACACCAAGCCCCTTCCCAACGAAAAAGGTTCCTTCTTCAGCGCCGCGACTGTAGGCCCTAGAAAGCCCAAAGAGGCCCC